AAACTGGACACTGGTTTCGCATCAGCCGCTAGTCCTATGAAATAGCTAATTTCTGTCATTGAACTATTTTTATTGGAGTTAGTGCTCTCACGATTCTTTTGGAAGTTTTTATCATTTTATTAGTCATTTATCTCTCATGGTGACCTTTCATTATGTCGATGAAGTGATATATTTCCTGGTTGTTTTAATGGTCCATTTGCATGACGTATAATGACAACGCATTACTTGGACCAATCAGAATTGGACACATTTATAAGGTGTATAATTTAAGCGCGCCTTTCCGTTTTGGGCTTCATTCGTCAACGATGTCGCGTTACTGTTGGTTGTTGTGTCTCGCGTTGTCTCTTGTCGTCGTTTTTGGTGAGAAGGATGAAAAGAAGGACTATGGTACTGTCGTTGGGATAGATTTGGGGACAACTTACTCCTGGTTAGTTTACTCATTAGCAATTGTGTCATTTCAACTGATCCAATTTTAGTGTTGGCGTTTTTCGCAACGGCCGTGTTGAAGTGATTCCTAATGACCAAGGAAACCGGATTACACCATCTTATGTTGCGTTCACGGAGTCTGGCGATCGCTTGGTTGGGGATGCTGCGAAAAATCAGCTTACAACCAATCCGGAGAACACTGTATTCGATGTGAAACGGTTGATCGGGCGTACTTTCGATGATTCTTCAGTTCAGAAGGACATTGCACATTATCCCTTCAAAGTCATTGACAGGAACAACCGGCCATATGTGTCAGTAAAGGTGGGAAGTGAAACAAAAACGTTCGCTCCGGAAGAAATTTCTGCAATGGTATTGGGCAAGATGAAAGAAAGTGCTGAGGCTTTCTTAGGAAAACCTGTAACACATGCGGTTGTCACTGTTCCAGCCTACTTCAACGACGCTCAGCGTCAAGCCACCAAGGATGCTGGTGTTATTGCCGGCCTCACTGTTCTACGCATCATCAACGAACCGACCGCTGCCGCCATCGCGTACGGTCTAGACAAGAAAGGTGGTGAAAAGAACATTTTGGTTTACGATTTGGGTGGTGGTACTTTTGACGTGTCCCTTTTGACCATTGAGGATAGCGTTTTCGAAGTTATCGCCACAAGTGGTGATACGCACCTCGGTGGTGAAGACTTTGACAATCGAGTGGTCACACACTTCCTCAAACTGCACAAAAAGAAAAAGGGTAAAGACCTAAGCACAGACAAGCGCGCTGTTCAAAAACTCCGTCGGGAGGCAGAGAAAGCCAAACGTGGTCTCAGCACGGCTCATTCTGTGCGTGTTGAAATAGAATCTTTCGATGATGGAGAACCGTTTATGGAAACGTTGACACGTGCACGCTTTGAAGAATTGAATATGGATCTCTTCAAAAGTACTTTAAAACCAATTGAACAGGTCCTCAAGGACTCCGGATTGGGTAAAGATGACGTCCACGAGGTTGTTTTGGTCGGAGGTTCAACGCGTATACCGAAAATTCAACAACTCATCAAGGAATTCTTCAACGACAAAGAACCGAGTCGTGGTATCAACCCCGATGAGGCTGTCGCTAACGGTGCTGCGGTACAGGCCGGTGTTATCAGTGGTGTTGAGAACACCGATGGAATCGTTTTGTTGGATGTAAGTCCATTGACACTTGGAATTGAAACAGTTGGAGGTGTCATGACCAAGCTCATCCCTCGCAACACTGTTGTACCCACTAAAAAATCGCAGATATTCTCGACGGCAGCTGACAATCAACCAACCGTAACAATCCAGGTTTATGAAGGTGAACGCTCCATGACCAAGGATAACAACTTGCTTGGCAAATTCGACTTGACTGGTATTCCTCCAGCTCCTCGTGGTGTGCCCCAAATTGAAGTCACTTTTGAAATAGATGTCAACGGTATTTTGACAGTCACCGCAGAAGATAAAGGAACCGGCAGAAAGAATAACATCAACATTGTTAGAGACAACAATCGTTTATCAAAAGAAGACATTGAAAAGATGGTGAATGACGCGAAGCTGTATGCTGAAGAAGATAAGAAACTCGCTGCTCGAGCAGAAGCCAAGAATGGACTTGAAGGTTTCGCTTACTCACTTAAGGCTCAGTTGAATGATAAGGATAAACTCAAGGACAAGCTGAGCAGTGAAGATCACAGTACTATTGAGAAGGCTGCTGATGAGGCAATCCAGTGGTTAGAGAAAAATTCACAGGCAGATACCGATGAGCTGAATGCCCAAAAGAAAAAGTTGGAAGGTATTGTGCAGCCGATTATATCGAAACTGTACAAACAAGATGGCGGAGCTCCACCACCAGAGGCTGGAAAGGATGAACTGTAGTGAAGTTGTCTTAATTTTATTCATTCCCCTGTACATTTTTACCCGT